ATATTTCTTCACTTGCTGAAAAAAGTTCAAAAAATATAATAGGAGGATGAGATAATACATATTGATTATAATATTTCAACTTCGTGAGACCCGAAAGCATAATATTATCATGGTCTTTTTGACCTAATGGTCATTTCAAAATGAAAGTCGGCAACACTGTCCAAATCGCTCGCTATTGCAGTTTTTGATTTGTTTACCACACTTCCATTTGCCTAGCTGCCCTATGCGCCACGCAGTTCGTTCGAAAATAAGTATTTCGGTTGATTTTCTGTTGAAGTGCAAAGTGACATACTGACATGAGTATTTGTATATCAGCATACGGAATGGAATAAAAACTGCAAGAATGGGGAACTGTCTCCATAGTCCATACTCGAAGTTGAGCTGAACGACCAAGAAGAAAATAAAACTCGAAGTCGTACCCACGAAATTGATTGGCGAAGGTATGCAGTTAATTCTGCTCCAAAAAGGTTGGGACATGTTTCGACTATTCGAATGGTCATCACCAATCATGGATATCAAAAGTGAACCTACAATGGGTGAAATATAATGAACATCTTGCAAAAATCAACATTTTGAGTGGAAAGTGACATGAAATTATACTAATATCAAAATTTTGAACATCTTACGAGGTTATATAGCGATTGAATATAAACTGCTCCACATTTGAAGTGAGACAAGCGAACATTTTGTTTGTTTTCGAACCGTGATAACTTTGGATGGGATCAACCGATCTTTGATTAGTTTTGAGATTGTGATTGCTCAGTTGATTGGCTATATTTTTTTTACGTTTCTCCACCATTTCGGAATTATGACCTACAGGATGATATCTGAAAGTGTGATACTTTCCGAAAAGTTTGAGGTCGTCCCGTTAGCAGGATAACTTTTTTAAAATTTTTCTGACGGCAAAAACATGAAGCCTAATGTGTTTCCTCGAGATGGTTCCGAATTCATCAAGATCCATACAGGATGTTTTGAGATATGCAATTTTGAACAACATAATGGCTATTCGAATTTTTTGAATACCTTAAATTCATTGGTTAACCCCTCGGTATAATATGTTGTCTGGGAAATAATCAGAAATTGTCAAACATTTGATTATTGTAATAAAATATGCCACGACTAACTAATGAACAATTACGAATGGTTCTCAGAATGAGAGATGGTGGTTTGAATGTTGAAGACATTGGACAGTATTATCGTCACGGAGGTGGACGACAACGGAAGACTTCAGATAGAAATGATAATTTCTTAGTTACTTCGGTACGTCGTCTTCGAACACAGACTGCTGGACAACTGAACTGTGCACTAAGAAATGCAACAGGAGTTGTTGTCTCAGATGAGACAATCAGAAGAAGGCTTCATGAGCGCAATCTGAGAGCGAGAAGGAGGGCATCTTGTACTTTGTTAAAGCTGAACCACAGGATAGCTCGAAGACTTTGGGCTCAGAACCATTTGAACTGGGGAATAGCTGATTGGAGGAGATGTTCATTCGTTGATGAGAGTAGGTGTAATATGTTCAGATCAGATGGAAGGATTTTAGTATGGCGAGAACGGGGTGAGAGGTTTCTGGAGGAAAACATGGAGGCGTGGGTGGCATTCGGGGGTGGGGGTGTTACGATATGGGGCGGTATCATGATGAATCATCGCACCACGTTGCTTATTTTGAGGGAAAGTATGAATGCTGTTCGATATCGTGACATGTGTATAAGAGATGTTGTTATACCAGTTGCTCAAAAATTTGGAGACAATTTCGTACTGGTCGATGATAATGCACGACCACATCGTGCGAGAATTGTAACCAAAGTTCTGAGACAACATAATATTGAAAGAATGGAATGGCCACCCGTATCTCCAGACATGAACACAATAGAACATGTATGGGCTAGGTTAAAATTATGTTTGAAGAGAAGAGAAGGTGAAATGATGAATATTCAACAACTGGAAGATGCGATAGTGGAAGAATGGACAGCTATTCCCCAAGATTTCATTGATGGCTTGATAACAAGTGGGTGGTGTAACAAAATATTGATAATCGACCACATCTGCCGTTGTTAATTTTTCTTTATTAAAAAAATATTGTGTTACGTATTATCTGTATTCTCTTCGTGGTATATGTTCATCAATTCTCATTCTCTATATCCACTGAAAAAAAAAAACATAAGCACACTCCACATTCACTTTATTCCTCCCTGCGAACTAACCCTGAAGGTTTTCCGTTCAATCACGAAATCACTTTTGCTAATCCATGATATTGCATATCTCAAAACATCCTGTATGGATCTTGATGAATCCGAAACCATTTCGAGGAAACACATTAGGGTTCATGTTTTTGCCGTCAGAAAAATTTAAAAAAAATTATCCTGCTAACGGGGCGACCTCAAACTTTTCGGAAATTATCACACTTTCAGATATCATCCTGTAGGTCATAATTCTGAAATGGTGGAGAAACGTAAAAAAAATATGTTATAGCCAATCAACTGGGCAATCACAATCTCAAAACTAATCAAAGATCGGTTGATCTCATCCAAAGTTATCACGGTTCGAAAACAAACAAAATGTTCGCTTGTCTCACTTCAAATGTGGAGCAGTTTAGTTATAGAAGGATATTGAATGAGTGAATCTCAATAATTTTGTTGTTATCAGGTTCTTAATGTTCAACAGTTACACATGTTCTAGGTTTTGATGATTGTATAATTCCATTATGCCACTTTTCACCCATAATGTTGACCTTTGCAGGATGTTGAGTATAACTTTCATTCATTAAGGTTGCACTTTTGATACCAATCATTCATGATGACCATCTGATGGTCGAAGAATGTCTCAAACCTTTCTGAAGCAGGATGAACTGCAAATTTTCGCCAATTAATTTTGTGGAGACGACTTCGAGACTTCTCATTTTCAAAAGATAATTGTCCTTATCACGTTTGAAGTTTTTGAATGAAGAGCTATTCCATCCAATCAAGCAAATGATAATTTTCTCATTGAACAATATGGTATAGTTTCAATTGGAACACCTCATTTCATTCGTCTAATCTTATCAATTTCTTGTTATGAAATAATCTGCAGTGAATAATAAGAATGTCTATTATTTGATTCAAAGAAACTACCCTCCAAATAAAGAGAATGATTGTCTTGACAATCCATGCAATGAGACTCATGTTTAGAGTAAAGTTACTGTACTCATATGAAGAATACCGAATTCTTCTTTTCAAGCAACCTATACGCTTGGTCGGAGACTACTGAATTGTAAATGAAAAATTCTCATATCAAGCAATCGTTTATTCCAGTATATATAAACAAGCCATTATCTTGAAACAAAGCATATTCCATTGCAGGATGAAATTACTTTCATGTGTGTAGATAGCTTTATTAATTTTATATGCTATTTCATCATGAAACACGCCAATGTACAATAATATCGAACTCAATTCTTGTTATGATGTTTGGTTAAAATATGTTTTGTCAAGTTGGACTTGAGCTTTGTCATGTGATCACAGTTCGGAAAGGAACACCTGAGCTGGGCTACCTTCCCACAGGTATATTTTATGTGTTCTCTCAAATTGTTTTTATGTTTAAACCATTTGTCGCATTGAGAACATACGAATGGTGATTTTGCTCCTGAAATAACTGGGATTAGTTGACAGTAAGGAAAGAGAAATGTATATAATCAATCTCCAAAGAATTGAACGGGTTCTTGATTCAAGACTGAGAATAAAATTGAATCATTTCTGACAAGAGCAAAACCGGAGAATTGAGCAACAAAAAATTGTGTTTTTCCACCACTAGGTTCATAACCTACCATTATTTACTACTATTTGAAGCATAAAGCGTGTTTTTACTACGAAGGTAGTCTTTGTCAAACTATTTCTAGTCGATAAAGACATATCAGAGATCCGCAGGAATGACACTCGTTTCTAGAAGGTATTTATCAATAATGACTTGTCATAATATGCTGATGTCATGGTCATGGTTAATTATTGAATATAGCCCCATATTTCGGTTTCACGAAACAAATATGTATTGGTGTGAGCCATATATAGCAGACCCATACAAGTCACAGAAAAGGGCCGAATAAACCCATTCCTAATTTGAATATAACCTAACCTTTGAAACAGTGACTAGTTGATCCTCAGGAACTAAAGTGTACTATTACTAAATTTAAAAACTCCACAAACGATACTATTTCCACGAAATTCATAGTCACACGACATGTTTCGCTAACACAGTAGCTTCATCAGGTGAAATCCTAGTACAATGAAATAAACTAACCTTGGCTTGCCTAACTTTTATATATCCTACTTTCCATACCTATAGGATTATGATTACCTGTGGAAAAGTTCGATAAACCTTTTTTGGATAAACTTTTTTTGGAAAATATGCACATTGCAATACGGTGTACCATATATATTAAAGGAAAACCATAGTTTTGATGATAATTTCGAAATTCTGAACGTAGGAAATAAGGGAATGAAACTCAATCATTTTGAATCATTAGCAATCAACAAACTCAAAAACTTCGACATTTTACTTAACGATCAATAGTTCACCACTGTTGAATTTGTTTTCTTATAGCGTATTTTAATGTAGATATTGTGCCTAATTTCCGGTAAGGTTGGGAAAGTAGGATATATAAGCAAGCCAAGGTTAGATTAGTTCATCGTACCAGTATATCACCTGACAAAGCTACTGTGTTAGCGAAACATGTCGTGTGTTTGAGAATTTTGTGGAAATCTGATCGTTTGTGAAGTTTTCACATATTGATGGATTTTTATGGGAGCAAGAATTCGAATATCGAACTTTATTTCGAGAATAAAACGAGACATTTATTGTAATTTCCATAATGAAAAAAAAATCTGTTTAGTCCTTTACGAGAACCTGGAACGAAGCAAACATCACACGATAAATATGTTATGACTCGACAGCTGATCTACTAACTTCATGATATAGATTATCAGGGATTCCTGGATAAATTGAGCACGTCATGGCGGTATTGTTATTGTTTATTGTTTCCCTCTGTCATAACGTGTTTTCGCAAACTGTAGCCAAACCATTACATGCCTCTCGAATTCATCGTCTTTGATGTTTGGGAATGTATTTCTCACTGCATCTGGAACCAAAGTTTTGAAAATCTTGTCCTTCAATGAGTATGTTTCACTTTGATACGTCCTGACGACAGTTTTCTGTCCTCACTCACATTTGGAATTGAACTCAAGTATAGTTACCTCTCAAAATATGTATGGATTTCAGATCTTTGATTCTGAAGTTGTCCTTCTTGCCAGTCCAACTACAAAACATGGCACAATAATTCGTGAAGCAACGTTCAAGGCATCTAGAAACACAAGCTTTTTCATTCACGCCACCAATATATTGTAGAACCTGTAACTGGAACACAAGTGTCAGAACTATGCCCTTTTTATTGTTGAACAAACTGGAAGAGTGAAGCGAGATTGTTTATTAGCAGAAAAATCATAGTCATCTCTATATCAGCACAGGTTTGATGATCATCACAAAATCAAAAAGTGAGACAATAGTCGCGTTTGTTTGAGATTCTTTGGTGTAAGAATTGTGTAGGAACGAATAAAACGGCAAAGAATGAAGAATTACATTGATTTGATGACATTCATGTGAAAACCACATGCAATCAAAATGACATAATAATTATCATATATAATACCACAAGTGATAATATTTTGCCGGAAATATTCGGTGATTGTTACGACAGCTTGTTGCCTAGTAATTTCGTGAATGACATTGTTATCAAAACTACGAGCCGTAGGCGAGTAGTTTTGGATCAATGTCATGAGCGAAATTAGAGCAGCAAGCTGGAGTATGTCAATCGACGTATATTTCTAGGAAAAATAGTATCACGAGTTCTATTCGTATGACTATTTCATGATTGAATGAGACAATATAAGAAATAGGAAACATAATCTAAGTATATTCCAACTCGAACTGCGACGAAGAACATAATGATAGTAATGAAATACAGAATTTACTTTTTTAGAAATTAACTACTTATAATAGTTATTCACAAAGTGGAATGTACAATTTTGATAAACAGTATTTTTTTTATTATCTTGGAGATGGTTGCTCTCAAAAGAGTGTATACAATTACTATCCAATTCAAACAAAATAAATTGAATTTATGTGACATGGAATAATTAAAAAAAAAGATATCGTCGCCGAGGGCTCGAACCATCGACCTTCGTATTCTGGCGCAACAACCCTAATAGTTGCGCTACATCAGCTAGTAATTATATCAGTCAGTCACAATAACTTGAGTGATTGAAGGAGATTACTTCAAAAAGGAATTTAAATTCTATTATTGTTGTGTCAGACCAATATACAAACTTTTTAGATTACACATGAAACGTCCAGCCAGAATAAAATTGTCTCGCCTTTCGTACAAAATATCTCACTAACGCGAATTATAAGTGAATGAAATAAAGTAGGAACTTAGGTTATTGTCTCAGATTCGAATCCAAAGCAATCTTGACCAGACAGGATGTCAAAATTTTATCGCTGATAAACGATGTTAGTTGGTCACGTGTGGGTCAATTCGGCTTCTGTATTGGTAGAGCAAGTCCGATAAAATTTAATAAACAAAAAATATCGCTAGAATACAGAAGAAACCATGAAAATGGTCGATTCTGATTGGTTCTCGAGATCAAGAGTGGAATAGTCAATAAAAAACATCAAAGTTAATTCGATAAATTTTTTGATCTCTGGATTGGATTCATGGATTGATGATACATATTGAATAATGGTTTTGGTATATTCGTGCGGGCTTAGGGGTAAGTACGTGGGGATTTCTAACTATATGACTAATCAATAATCATTCCCTAGACATTGGTGTTATTCGATATTATCAAATTTGATAGTATCTATACAGGGTTGGGCAAAAGTATGGAACAAAGTGAATATCTCGATAACCGTTGTCAGATTTTTTTGAATATATATACAGGATGATATCAAAACGTGGTGGATTTGAGAATGTTATCGTCGATGTTGCCACTTTTTCAGTTATTCCGGAATTATTATCAACTTCCTTATTTCAAATAGAACACCCTGTATTTCATTGAATTCACAGATTCTCCCTGAAAACAAATACAGGGTGGTTCAAGATTCACAAATCTGATCACCCTGTATCTGTTTCCATTAAGTTTCCATCGTTCAAGTTTGAACCCCTTGATTGGTTCCATGTATTGGAAAGGAATAGTCTCAGATATAATTATGAACATGAGAAAATAAAATTTAATACATTGAGAATTCGCATTCTCTAAGTGATGAAAATATCAATTCTTTCTTGGTTCGTTCAACAGGAAACAACTATTTTCCTGGCTAGTGGCTCTATGCCACGACGAACATTGAATCATATAAAACCTATTTGTGAGAGATATGATTTCCATATCACTGATACGGATGATGTTTTTGGAAGTGCCAAGCTCATCAAGATCAGAGTTTATACAACTCATATACATTTCAATTTTTATGTCAATACTGAACATATTGGTGAGTAATATTTTCATATCATAATACATCACATTATTTTATCCGATTTGGGAGATGATGTCAACTATCAATTTCAGATGATTTTCATTTTTCATGCTCTCTTTTTGGATGTTCAACAGATATAATTCAATGTTCGACGTGGCAAATAGCCAGGAATGTTATTGTTGAATATCTCTATCTAAAGGAGAATGCAAATTCTCTACTTCAGGAGATTTTGTTTCAGAAGTCTTATCGTGTATGTTCAATAGATGTAATTCAATGTTCGTCGTGGCATATAGCAAGGAAAGTAGTTGTTTTCTGTTGAATAAACCAAGAACGAATTGATATTTTCATCACATAGAGAATGCGAATTCTCAATGTATTTCTTCACATATATATATATCCACTTTTTATGTTCATAACTATATCTGATGATATTCCTTTTCGATTTTATAGTTGAATTAATCTGATGTAGAGATGCCTACGATTTTTTTTCGATCAAGTGATGTGGTTCACAATTCTATGAATACCTACTCACCAGTTGTTGTTTGTTTTCGTCATCATCCAATTGTCGCTCCAAGTCGTTCAATTCATCTATTGATTTAATGGGTAGCAATTTTGAAATTTTATTATTTTGAGAGTTTGGAGGGTTCAACGTGAAATTGGTATTCAATAGCTGCTCCATATTTCCAATTCTCTTTTCTATAATGTTCAATCTTCCATTGATTCTCAACAAAGTTTTAAGGATCTTATTGATTCCTGAAAAAATAAAAAATTACTATAAAGAATCAAAATATTCGTTAACAGAACACTAATGAAGAAGAGTATTCCAGAAGGGAATGGCCGAAAGGAGGATGTCTCCTGTGGAATATCTCATCGATATCCATGGTACAGCACTGGTTCATTCAAGTTTCGAAATTTCTCAACAATCGAAAAACCACTATCTTCAAGAAGAAGCAACTTATTTAATTGAATATGACCATGAATTTGTGGTGCCTGCGAGAGTCTCGTTTCCGAGAGTCTCGCATGGTCTCGTCTCGTTTTCGAGACAAAATTCGAGACGAGACTCGGACAAGACAAGACGAGACAAGACTTTTATTGGTCTCGTCTCGAATCTTGTGCAAGAGTCTCGCAGGTAAATATTTCTGCGTACCGACTGCACACTTGAGAATTAAATTCATAATACAACATATTTAGAGAGAATTCAGAATATTTAGCACAGCTAGACAAAACATTTCATTCATAAATACTTTAAAAACACAATCCATGATCGTTGTTAAACGACGTAATGCGTGAAACGAAAACGGACTATTCTTCTGAATTATAAGAAAACATCGGAATCGTCTCAATAATGAATCTGCACGATGTTTGTTATCTCTTAACGATTGGGTGAAAAACAAAAACATTTGCGCGATCGTGAAGGCTGATCTGATTGATGCAGGTTTTTTTCTTAGATTCCTATTTCTTAAATAAGTAAAATAATGTTGGACTAAAATTTTTGTTCTGTTTATTTGTTTAGAATATACGTGTTACTTTTCATTTTATTCTCATAACTTTCGAATATATAATGCTATGTTCTTTTTCTTGTTTAGATGTATGATGTAAGTATGTACCTATTAGGTACTTACTTTTCAATAAACAATGTTACTTTTGTTGTAATTTCCTCTACCTACTTCTACATTATAGCTAAAAAGTAGGTAAAGGTGAATATCCCGTACTAGACTGGAACAAGATTATGCATGACGAAATTGCGATATATTTGCGAGACTCTCGTACGAGACGCGAGACAAGACGAGACTCGAGGCTGCGAAACAAGACTCGAGACAAGACTTCATATTTCATCGGCGAGACGAGACGAGACTTTATGAAAGTATCGTTCCGTTGGTCTCGTGTGGATCAGTAGACTCCCCGATTGGGTAAGTTTGGAATATGGAGAAGTGTATGGGATCATTGGAGTTCAGAAAGAAAATTGTTATCCGTTTTGTAGTGGTGATGGAGACACTTAATAGGTACTTAGGTAGAATAAATCTTATATGTATATCTCTACCAAGGACGCAAGCTGAACCCAATTTATCCCACCTTCCATGGGAGGTAATGTTTTTTCCTCCCGTGGGAGTAAATTCACAGGTTTGTGTCCTTGAATGAAGGAGCAAACGCTCACTTTCGATGCAGTGAGTAGATAAAAATATGATCTGACCATCATCTGACACTGAATAACCTTGCTCCAGTAATGGATGATGAGATCCTACTTCACGCCCTTGATACATGAATAACCCATTATTCCATGAAAGGTTCAAATAATGGAACCCAGCTTAGGTTTCTAATTGGACATTCGACAGGACACTGACGCATGCATGTTTACTGAGCTAGGAAAAGGAATCATGAAAGCAAAACAATATTTGAATTGGAAAAAAATCTGTCAATCAACTAAATACTACATATATTATTTTCATCTTCATCATCTGAAATTAAACGAAAATCTCTGGAAATGAATGAAAAAATTTCAATAAAATCTGTCCTCTGTGATCAATTACTATGCAAATGATAGTGAACCTTGAGGGTGCTTCGATGCTTAAACTTCTTATTGCAAATATCACATTCGAATTTTGGTTCCACACCGCACTCATATCTGATGTGTCTGACCAAATGGCTTTTGCGTTTATAAGATAATGGACAGTTTGGACACTCATATCTTCCATCAGTTGAATTCCTGAAAACTAATGAAATTTATTAGCTCAACAATTTTTACTGTTTTCGTATCAATATTATATCACAACACCTGCAGTATATCCGTGTTCAATACTTCATCATATATTTTGTATACTAGATATCCTCCTCCCCGTATAATTTCATTATCATCATAAGTCATAGATTTCCCCGGTATAATTCCATTATCATCATAAGTCATAGATAAATCATTTGTTCCAAAATTAATCGATAAGCAGCATGATTCAACTTATTAGTCATTCATTCGGGAACAGGTGGTAAATCAAGACAGTCTTATATTAGATGTCATCACGTACGGTTGAATTTTGTGATAGACATACAGAAAAATACGCGAAAGGAATTATTTAACGTTCCAAACGGAGTGTTCTCTAGAAAATGAGTGAAAGTTATGTGTTTTTCTATTCTTCATTCAATAATTCATATCGCGATCGTGTGATGTTGTTCTGGTGTTTCGTGGAATTGTAGGAATCATTTCTCACTTTATTCACGCTGGTGAGTTATTTTTAATTTTTTCATAATGAGTGTTAGTATAATCTGATACGTGATAGGTATTTTGGACCGATACCACTCGATACATCTGGAAATCATAGAGTAAGTACTCCTTTGGTTTATTTTAACTACGTGTGACCAATGTTGCGGTTCATATACGTAATTTTTGTGAGAAATGTATGTGATTAAAACAAACCCGAGAAAAATTTGTCAATCCGTATCGCAGAAAGTGGGCACGATTCTTTTTACTGTGATATATATATGAATATTCACCATATCCATTCCTGGATATGGTGATTATTCATATAAACTACGCAACACTCATTTCGTCGCACCCCAAAATTTTGCTCCAATGTTAAAATATGAATAACTTTTCTCTTCTTTGAACAATTTCAATTCGGTTCACACTGTTCGCTGGTCCAGTCCTTCAGTTTCAAGCTCGTACTTCTTTAAAACATGAGGTTCTTTATATAAACTCGCTACAGGGTGTCACCTGTAACTGTGAAAAATCTGGAATTTTCAGAAGGACCCCAAATAAACAGAAACTTGTTCTTTCAACTTTGACAACAGATTACCTTGAGACATTTCTCAAATTGTCTCATTATCTCTTTTACTTTCAGAGTGATATCAAATAATTAACTTTCAGGTTTTGCAGTCATAACTTTTTTCCGTGTCAACCAATTTTTGAAATCTCAGGCTCATTCTGAAGATGGAACTCCAGATGAGGAGATATGAAGATCAGAAGATGAACATTGCACAAAAATGGAATAGGGAGTCGACTAATTTTTTTTATTCCTTGAATAGAATCATCACTCAAATAACTTCAAATTTGATATATCTTTAGGATTTCTCGTTCGATTTTTCAAGGTGCTAAGATGAACAATAACGCCACGATAATAATTTTCAAACGGCTAAAAATTTGCCGCGAGTGAAAACAGACGTCACGATTTCGTAAGTAGAAAAAGACCATAGCACATTTGCCATATGTTGAAATACTATTGGAACTTCAGAAATATAAGTTACTCAATAATTCATGAATTCTCAATTTTGTATTCATCATATTCCTGATTAGACATGAAAAATCAATTGTCTCAAAATATTTCCTCATCTGTTGTGGCTCATTGCAAATAATACATTATTAATATTATTATATTGATTTATACTAGAGGGCATTTGAGGGTGCGAGCGTGACAACACGGCGCACGAATTGTGGGCGGTGCCTTGTCAGTTCTCAGCATTAACATGATATTTTGTTATGGAGTGGATAAGATATTCAGACATGCTGGTTGCTCGAAAAAGTCTAGAATGAACTATAACATGATGGCTCACTCATATTATGTTTCATCTCGGGTTCTACCCAACGACAGGACTTCAATATTTCTGATAAATTGATTATAATTGGTAACTTGACAACGTTGCTTCATAAGTGGAAATGAATGATTATTTTTGCAGTATTGCAGTATCATTGCAGAGAAAAGTGTTGTTCATCTGACTGCCTCGTCTTCATTGAAATAGTTGATGGATAAATAAATTACAAAAATATATCGCGTTCCAGTTACGAATGTTGAAAATATTATTCAGGTATGTTTCAGATTATACATCCATGAAAATCAGTATTAATTTTTTTAGATTTCGATATTTGATGTCATGTTTATTTGCAGATCTTAGAAGCAGAGTGTTAGATACTTGTCACTAAATAGGAGAAAACCATCCAGTCAAAATGAAGCGAATAGAAGATCCGCAGAGAGAACTGACCAGAGTATACTTTACAGAATTCAGATCATCATATTCGTACGGAAGGCGATATATTGATATCCTTTCCAGATTCTCATGGAAACAGATAAGACAGATATTCACCTTTAAGTCTCTATGGAAACACGACAGGTACCCTTACGAGGGGAGAGTATCAACTCGGCGTTCATAAACCCTCTCTGCAAAGGAGGTAGGCGCATGGTGGGTTAGGTATAAACAGTGTTCTTCATTGCAGAGAAAATTGTTGTTTATCTGCCTGCCTCGTCTTCATTGAGATAGTTGATGAATTGATGAATTACAAGAATATATCGCGTTTCAGTTATGAATGTTGAAAACAATATCCAGACATTCCATAGATTAATATTCTATGTAGGTCTCACGATTCAAATTTGAAATAATTGATACCTAGTTTTAGATCCGAGCAGTACATTATTGTTTGACCTTCAAGGTCCTTAATATAACCCACGTGATTGGAAAAGCGGAAGATGCCTACTGGCAAAACCACTATTCGAAAAGAAAGCGGATATGTAGCAATCCAGTAACGGACGACGAAAATATCATTCAGGTATGTCTCAGTTGAATGTACTTAGATTGATATGTGATGTTTATTTGCAGATCCGAAAAGCAGTATTTGATACTTGCCACTCAATCGTAAAAAACCAGCCAGTCAAGACGAAACGAACAGAAGATCCGCAAAGAGAACTGACCAGAGTATACTTCACATAATTCAGATCCTTATATTCGTACGGAATGCGATATATTGATATGCTTTCCAGAATCTCAAGAAAACAG